GTCGAGAAGAAATAGTCGAGATAGGTTGGTAGGACACCTTCTCAGGCATGAAGGTCTGGTCAGAGACATATTAGATGCAGAAGCAGGAGTTAAGAAGATTAGAGGTAGATGAGTTGAATTAGTCCAAGTTTGGGTACTGTTGTCGGTTCACACAATCCATTTTGGGAGATCTTAGCTCAAATAATACCTATTGGAAACGCTAAATTCTAAGTTTGGAATACACTAGTCATTAGAGTGAATACGTAATGTAGAAATGCTGACTTTATTCCAATTGTTTAATTCTACCTCGATCACTTCAAAATTAGCGATTCTTGATCAATGAATCTAATTAAATGATACATTCTAGGTACCTAAAGTGCAAATGTTATATAGTTAGTGCTAGTTTTTGATTAGATGTTTTAATGGTCGATTGCAGGATATTGTAGTATTAGAGGAGATAGATACACATTCTAGGTACCTAAAGTGCAGATTTTATATAGTTAGTGCTAGTTTTTGATTAGATGTTTTAATGGTCGATTGCAGGATATTGTAGTATTAGAGGAGATAGATACACATTCTAGGTACCTAAAAGTGTAAATGTTATACAGTTACTGTTATTTATTGATTGGATGTTTTAATGGTCGATTGCAGGATGTTGTAGTATTAGAGGAGATAGATACACATTCTAGGTACCTAAAAGTGTAAATGTTATACAGTTACTGTTATTTATTGATTGGATGTTTTAATGGTCGATTGCAGGATGTTGTAGTATTAGAGGAGATAGATACACATTCTAGGTACCTAAAAGTGTAAATGTTATACAGTTACTGTTATTTATTGATTGGATGTTTTAATGGTCGATTGCAGGATGTTGTAGTATTAGAGGAGATAGATACACATTCTAGGTACCTAAAAGTGTAAATGTTATACAGTTACTGTTATTTATTGATTGGATGTTTTAATGGTCGATTGCAGGATGTTGTAGTATTAGAGGAGATAGATACACATTCTAGGTACCTAAAAGTGTAAATGTTATACAGTTACTGTTATTTATTGATTGGATGTTTTAATGGTCGATTGCAGGATGTTGTAGTATTAGAGGAGATAGATACACATTCTAGGTACCTAAAAGTGTAAATGTTATACAGTTACTGTTATTTATTGATTGGATGTTTTAATGGTCGATTGCAGGATGTTGTAGTATTAGAGGAGATAGATACACATTCTAGGTACCTAAAAGTGTAAATGTTATACAGTTACTGTTATTTATTGATTGGATGTTTTAATGGTCGATTGCAGGATGTTGTAGTATTAGAGGAGATAGATACACATTCTAGGTACCTAAAAGTGTAAATGTTATACAGTTACTGTTATTTATTGATTGGATGTTTTAATGGTCGATTGCAGGATGTTGTAGTATTAGAGGAGATAGATACACATTCTAGGTACCTAAAAGTGTAAATGTTATACAGTTACTGTTATTTATTGATTGGATGTTTTAATGGTCGATTGCAGGATGTTGTAGTATTAGAGGAGATAGATACACATTCTAGGTACCTAAAAGTGTAAATGTTATACAGTTACTGTTATTTATTGATTGGATGTTTTAATGGTCGATTGCAGGATGTTGTAGTATTAGAGGAGATAGATACACATTCTAGGTACCTAAAAGTGTAAATGTTATACAGTTACTGTTATTTATTGATTGGATGTTTTAATGGTCGATTGCAGTATGTTGTAGTATTAGAGGAGATAGATACACATTCTAGGTACCTAAAGTGCAGATGTTATATAGTTAGTGTTATTTTTTGATTAGATGTTCTAATGGTCGATTGAGGGTGTTGTAAGTATTAGAGGAGATAGATACCTATTTCACATACCTTTTGTTGTTTTTTCTACAATCTTGAACCGAAAACTATTTTTTTCGACTATTTTCGATAGACAAGCAAATAAACAATGTTTTGACCCCTCTAATTTTCCATTACTGATCATCTTCTACAAACACTGATACATTCTATCTATGTATACGTATGAGTATTACAGTATATGTTTTCGGACGGGTTTTGCAAAATTTTCCACGGTCGCGTTGGCGTAGGTCATTTACTTTTTTTTTATTCTTGTTTTCTTAATAATGTTAATTTTATGTTCTTCGGCATTGTGTTTTTGTGGTCGAGGTTTCCCTTTCATTAGGAACCGGATGAAGAAGGTTAACACAGCTTGTAGTCGGTTATATTCCGATTGTAAATGTTTTAGGGATTTTTATTTTGTTTTTATTAATCACCGAAAAGGTCGTGAGATCATAGGAAAGTGATTAATGCATGGAAATTTATTTAACACGAACTTATTGGTAATTTTATTACGTGAAAATTGATATGCGGATGTTACATGTTCAACGTAGAAACGGTGGAGATAATTTTAGTTAAATTTAAATGAAAAAACTTGAATTTTTGCTGCGATATTTGTATAAAGTTGATAAATTTCAAAACGTTTGACTTTTTCATTGTCATTTAATAAACAGATGGTGTAATATTTTTGATTTCTTTCGGAAAATCTCTGGAAATATTTCCCAAAGTAAATAAACATAATGTGCTATGATAATACGTACACGATGATGTTGTACTTTTGGTAACTAAAGAAGTACCACAACGTATTAGTAACTAAAAAAAACCCACTAGGAAAATTAGCGATACTGAATTAGGGTATTACATATTCATGAGTCTTTCCTAGGGGCTCTGAGGCGAATTCAACACATGTACAACCTTATGAAGAAGTTGGGCAGTTCCAACATCAGCATCCAAAATTTTTTTGAAGTGGGTGGTAGGGCAGTGATTATTTTCCCTTAGGAAGAACTTAAAAGGCAGTCACAGTGCTGTGCAATTGAGGCAAGACATTGCATGCCCTTTGTGGGCCTTGAAGGGCAGCCCCATGGAGTCCATGCGAGATATTCTGGCTAACTGACTGTAATTTTGGGGGAGGAGGGCCCAATCTTCCCCCAAAATTACAGTCGGGTGGTAAAATAGGTGGAATTCTTGAAGAGTAAGATAGAACTGACAAGATTGAATTTAGTTAAACTGTCAGGCCGCAAAAGGGATCACTGTATTAAGGAAGAGTTTTTTTATTTTGTTGGTTTATTAACTGCTCTTGTAAACAATTTTTTTATTACTTTATCGTAACGGGAATGCTTAGATCATCATGGTAATTTACCGGTGCGTGTTGCATTTATTGATTGTTAATTACAGGCTAGTGCAAGATGGAAAACATTGAGCTGGTCTTCAGTTTGTAATTAAAAAAAATAAAAAATTATGCTATTAAATTGTTTATCGTGTTTTAAACATATATATGGAAATTATAGGTGAACAAAAAAAACTTCAATTATATTTCTTTTTAATTGTTTATATCGTACATGTACATAAACAGTTATTTAATTATGCTGTTATTGATTTTCGTCATCAACATAAGATCGTCAGTCCTAAGACTGGTTTAACATCAACTCCACTCTTTCCTATCCTTAGCTAATCTTCGGATTTTTCCAAAACCAGAACTTCCCACATCCTTAACTATTTGTGAACGGTAATCTAATTTGGGTCTACTTCTACTCCTCTTAACTCCTGTTTCTGATTCTAATATGTCTCTAATTAGCCCTTCACGCCTAACAAGGTGTCCTACCAACCTATCTCGCCTATTTCTGATTGATTCCATAGAGTTCTGTGTTCTCCTATTCTTTCTAATACCTCTTCGTTTCTAAACATTGACAACGCAAAAATTACAATTTTCAATTGTCAATCAGTTAATTTGGCGTAGAAATGTAGAATTTATTAGGTAACTTGTAATAATCTCAATTTTGACATGTTTTTTAAAAAAATATTTCAAGTTTCTTAATTATTACAATTTAATTTGTAATATCAACTAAAATACCTAGTAAATTTATTTCTGCTGGGATTTTATTTTTACAAATTCGGTTCCAAATTGTAATTTTTATTATTTTCGCTTACGAAGCAACGGACTAGTGGGATAAATTGTAAATATCGCTTTAATATTTAG